TACTAGATACTAGGTGAACTTAAAATCCTTACGAGCTGTTTGTTACTATTTTTTGTCGTACCACAATTACACAAACATACTTGCAGCAGTCAGATATATTCGTTTGGGTTGAGTATGAGTTGTGGATCATAAGCGAATGCGTTTTAAATAAACATCCCTTTCTTTGGGTTAAATCAATGACTGATTTCTCCACATATGTTATGGAAATCCTTCAGCTTTCTTTTTGCCTCTCTTGTGCTTGTTATTATGAGAACGATCCTACTAAAAAGGAAAAATGATATGTTTACTTTTTATTTTCTGCCTTCTATTATTTTTATGGCAGGGTATTAAGCGAAATACAGCCACAAGATTACTGAGATATTTGCAAAACTCCGGACCACAGGTGTCCGCGGTGGAGAAAGAACGCATTATTGTCCTTTCCGGAGAGCAACGCGTTCACCACCACACCATGCGGGTCCTTCGTTTCGCCTTTCTCTCAGCCAGTTCTATCGATCTTTTGCCATCAGCAGTCACTCGTCAACGGGATCGATCTAGAGACCCCAAATCGGCAGTTAAGCTGAGGTTTTAGTTATAATCACAATCTTAACCGTTTTATTTACTGCCTACTCTTTTTAATGGCAGGGTATATTGCGAAATATAACTTCAGTGATGCTGAGATACTTGCAAAACTCCGGACGCAGGTGCCTGCGGTGGGGAACGAACGCGCTATTGTCCTTTCCGGAGAGTAACGCGTTCACCACCACACCATGCGGGTCCTTCGTTTCCCCTGTCTCTCAGCTAGTTTTATCGTTCTGTGCCGTCAGCAATCAAAAAATGATATAGTTACCAGTCATCGGCTGTAAACTTACTGCCTATCTCATAAGGGATCTTTCTATGTCATATACTGACGCCCTACTTATGTTGAACTTCTAGGAGCAGTTCTATTTTAACATATTTAGAGACCTTATTTAAGTTGATGGTTGTAAAATAAAATGGAAAATTGTGCTCCAGTGGTAATTCAGTGAGTTCTTGTTATTCAATATTACTCACGACGTTGAACCCTTTTCGGAAATCTAGTTTGGTGGCGTGGTTGTACTTCATCCTAAGTTTTCTCATTGCTGCTGAGGACAACTCTAATAGAACTTGCGGAAAACAGGCCACAGGTATGATTATGAGATACTCGTCGATACTGCATATTGCTCCCTTTTCGTTCGATAACACGTTCACCTAGTTTTCCACTAATTGTAAACCTTGGATTATGATAGGTGGCATAGTATTAATAAAGCAAAGTACCAACAAGGAATGAACATAGGTTTTCAGATCCTGGGTGGATCTTCAGCATTGAATTGGCATGTCAAACTTTCGAAGGGCGAACCGCTTCATCCACATATCTATCCTCATTGACCTGATACGAAGGACGATGGATTGCTGCAGCAGAAGTCATGGACGATTTTATTCATTCACTTTCTTTATGTAGGAGTTGTTTCATCTGTGCTCAAAAGAGAGATCTTCTTGGTCTTCTTCTCTTCAGTCAATGCTACTGTTCTTCTGTCCTTAGCTTCTTCTTCAACCTTCAACTCTTCGGATCTGCTAGGTAAAATGCAAGTTGGCGATTGTGCATGGCTTCTACCACTTCATATTGGCATACATGATCAGAAGGTCGTGGATAAAGAAGTTTTTTAGTCACTTTGAAATTAGTCTTTGTTGAACATCCGTGAAGATCTTCGACAAGCTGGTCGGATTTCTCATTTACCTTGCCAATGATGCTTATATCCCAATATCGGCTTGTAGAACTGAACGAATTACACTTGTTGCTATGACTTCATGGTTTTGTACCCCGAATTTTGTTATGTTCTCCTTTTCCATGAAAAAAAAAAGAATGTTGGCCGAACAAAACAATCTACCTATTTCGTTTAATGCTTTGGAGAAACAGCGACATCAATTAGGTAAAACCTTCGTTTCACAAGGATGTAAGTCTATCTCGTTGTGGCAGTCTTGATCGCGAAACTAATACGTGAAGCATATAGAGAACGAATGTTGGGGCTGTGAATTACTACGAAATGTTTTGGTAATCGTGACAAGCTCAAACACTGTTCGTTCCATTCCAGTCCGCGAATCTCGGCGTTACTTGACTTTCTTCCTAGATCAAGGGTTCACGTTAAAGCCGCCCACTATTACTTCTAGAAACTATTACTTACTTAATTTATTCAAGTCCATATATAATGCCTAGACCTCACATTCATTATAAGCTAATGCTATGGCGTCAGTCGACATCTCCGCTCAACCGTGAATATACAATTCGGATCTTTTTTATTCATGAGGATCCCACGTTCATAGCCAAGCTCGTGTTGTTGAGGATTACAGTTCTCCCAACACCTCTCTCAAAACACCCATTCTACGACTAACAGTCCTATACTTCCATAAATAGCATGTCGTAATAGCTGCTTGACGGAAAGTATCTTTTTGAAGGCATTGATTATTTTCGCCGAGGTTTAACGAAAATCGGCTTTTAAGATACTACCGCGCTACATGCCACCTAATGAAATACCGACTACTGTAGGTTGCATTACCGCCAAAAATGCAGATCATATCGGATGGCAGCAGTAGACCGATATCTGTCTTGTATAAAATAGCACCTCCGAGTGAGATTCTTCATTCGATGGGTGCTCCACTGCAATGGATTCGGCTCGATGCGACAACCGATGACCCGTGTCGATGTCCACAGGTCTCCGTACTGTCGATGCTGTTTCTTCTCCAGCTTGAGGCTCTTAGCAAGACGAAAACGTTGGTACGTGGGCCGAATAAAGTTTGCCTTATCAACCTCGTTTTAGCTCATTAATGAAAGAAGGTACATTGAATTTAATATTTTATCCAACTTGCATACTTAAACTAAACATCTTTGAATTGCAAGAAATTGTGTGAGCCTTGGAGCAGTTTTCATCTCACTTATAATTAGCAAATAGGGTAAGATTTTCTTTCCGTGGATAGTCAAAAGACATGTAGTGGAGTCACCAGATCAAAACTATTTGGCAGCTTATGACTACATTATTGCCATGTTGGCAGAGATTTCTGAAACTCACTGTTGTCTGAGCTATCGGAAAGAAGTGTTGAGCTCCACCGATGAGCTGTGATGGGACGAAGTCTACTGTATATCGCCAGTTCGACACACAGAAACAACTGTCACTCGTTATATATCGGTAAACTACTGAGAAATTCAGAAAGGGTTATCAATATTATAAAGAAATTTGGCAGTTGCAGCGCGGTGTCAGAACTGTATTTCAACACACAGTACTTCGATCGCTTGTTCAATTCCGCGCCCAAGGCTCACTAAGCCTTCCATTCCTATGGGTTCGGCAAATCGCTATCAGAGCATTATGGAAGAATAGCAGTACTGACTTAATACATCTGTTGGCCACCGTAAGCCATTGTATAGGCCAATTATGTTCAACTATCTCCAAGATGCTTCATGAAGTCGAATGCATGGCACATCTCTCAGGGATTGATCAATGCCGATAATTTTATGCTTTTATCCCTCCGTAATGAAATTAAGAAAGTGTTTTACATGGATGCAGCGGCAGCCAACAACGATGCATTTGGGAGCACTATTAAGCCCCGCCGGATGATATACTGCTTTGCTTTTTGAAATAAAGCAAAAATAAAGTTCCACAAAAAGCGGAAAGAATAGCATTAAACGTGTTCTTCTGGTTTCCCTCAGGTGAATTTAATATACGCTAACAGTTCGTTCAATAACTTGAAACAGTTATCAATTTCCTCTTGTGTTCATGTGTTCAACAAATGACCAAGAAAACTGGCTTCCATTTATGAACGTGCAAGTTAACCTATCAGAAAACGGCTACATTACGAAACGGTATCGAAAGTAGAAACATCTTGGTTCATTACCTCTTCTCTCACCCCTCTCACATGAAAAGGGTACTTGTGAGAAACATGTTTCGAACAGCTACCAGCGTTTGCACAGGAAGGCAGGAGAGAGAAGAGCCCTGGAACTTGGCGCGGCGAATACCCATTTTTCAATAGCTGCGAAACTGTAGCTCGAGATAGGTGCAGAGGACAGGCCCCCAACGATAACTCTAGCAGCAGTAAGGTCCCGTTTATCCTACCCTTCATTTCAAATAAAGTAAGTGCAGCTATAAAATGCTGTCTAAGAAGGGCCGGTCTAGAGAATTCGGTAACGATAATTGAAATACCACCGAGTAATCTAAGACACCGGCTAGTTCGTAACCGACCGTCTATGTGCAGCGCAAAATTCCATAATTTGCCCTAATGGTAGAGACGGTGATTGCATGAGCTCGGGTACAGTCTATCTGATCTCTTGTAAAGCGTGCGGAGACGAATACATTGGCGAAGCGGGTCCTAGTCGGCAAACGTAAACCAAATACTCCATTAGGCACGCATAGGACGCATAGACTTAATGGAGAAGATTTTGAAGTAAGGGTTACGATCCTCGAGCAAGAATCGAGAACACAAGCGCGCAAAACTCTCGAGGGATTCTGGATTAATTCCAAGAATCCGAAAATGAACCGCAGGGAAGATTGCCTCATTATCACGCGTGATATTGGGCATCATATAAGCCTCTTATTCTGATGGGAGGGGCACATTACGCTTCTATGTGAATTCTGTACGGTTGGTCTCCACGCGACATACTCAGTGGAAGGCTCATAGAAAGCGATGAGCGCGCAAAGAAGCTATTTTGTGTTCAATGTGATTGAAATTTTGGTTTAGCGTTTTCTTTTGGTTATGGAGGTGTTTAGCCGTGTAGATTGCAGTCAACCTGACCTTTCCGGACTCTGAGGAAGGTGAAATCCGCCGAAACGTCAGCTCGTACGTAAATAAAGAAATAAAATAACACCTCGTGTTTGCTAAACAGAAGTAGAAAGAATTCAATCAATACCGAGGTTAATAGAAAGTTGGACGTGGGAGTTACAATAGATGAAGCTGGCAGAACACTATCATACCAATGATGTAAATGCAACAAATGGAAAATACGGACGATGTTGTCGAGTTTATTCAAATGCATTGGCCCGTATTTTAAAAGAAATATATATCATATGGAGATGAAACGATTGCTGTCGACTCCCACGACGAATTGCCATCGCTACAGTATCACACAGCATTTCTTCTTCCGTCTTAAGTGAATGGTGTCGATCGAAGTCGACAGCGACTGCTGTAGATCCGTCGACGACGGCTGCGTAATCACCACCTTCGGTAGCACCGGTCGTCCATCGTTCTGCAAGCACTTCTATCAGTGCTCGATGAAACACCATTACTTTTCCGTTTCCCTACTAGTTTCGGCTTAGACTTCATCATCAAAACTAATGCCAAGGAAGAAAAACAGTCCTAATTCGACGAGGAATTTATTTTAATTAAAAGATCTTTCATAGATTGAAGACTGGAGTTCGAAATGACGAAGAGAGCCCTCAACCATTTCTAGAATAAATTTCAAGTGAAGGACATAAATAATAACCCGAAAGAAAAAACATTACATGGTGTTTAGGGAATAATAAGTTCCTTCATAGGCTACCATGAACATCCTTTGAGTGGCAATTTTACGCAGAAAAGTTCACGTAAAGAAGGACAGTATTGTCTGCAGAAAATCCAGAATCTGAGTTGCTTAAATCCATAATAGCTTGTAATTCGATATAGAAAGCAAAAACGCCTATGAATCATCAGTCAGTAATGGATTATCTGCTTTCATTAGTGACAGAGTAAATGTGAAGTGAACGTTGATATTGGAGGCGCTTCGGGCAAGGAAAGCGTCACATAATCGTGTAGTAGGTAGTGGAAATCAAAAACTCGGTCATTCGAAAACTCCTCAATGGAATTCCCACTTCTCCATTCAAAGAAAAGAAAAACAATCGATTCAACCTTGTCGAGGAACTAGACGCTCTGAAAGCACACATATGCAAACAGAATAATATAATAGTCGCTTTCGAAATGCATTGAATTTTTAACGAGCTTCACTGAAGCTTTTAAACCCGCACGAATACCTATGCCTTCTACAGCAATCCAGTTGCGAGTGGCTCTCGATTCGGGATTGGAATTTGCTTAGTTTTTGGCTTCAAGAACTTTTCCATCAAATCATCGGTAGCGGATTTCTTGAAGAAACCAAATTTGACGTCTTCGTCCGGAAGATTCAGGCATGGCAACAATTCAGACGTGATCACAGCTCACTGCGCTCTATGACAAAGTGCAGTGAAAACGAGGAAGTAGGAGGAAGTTAAAATGTGAGAAAAACAAGAACTTTTAGGTACATCGGCATCAGTAAAGCTGCTCAATGGGGAATGATACATTGCGTGTCTTGTCAAAAATCTCTAAAAGATTGATGATGATGTAGCGTGGAATTTGCTTAGCTTTTGGCTTCAAGAACTTTTCCATCAAATCATCGGTATAAAGTCTTTAAGGACGATGAAATCAAATGCTAGGGCGTGTTTGCCCACGGTTGGGTTCATGCAGGGAATTCAATTAGCTGAAACTAAACAAACAATGCGTGCAAAGCACAACCGGACACTGCCTTCTCGGCTCACGAATTTCCTCAGGAACGAGGGTGATTTCTAACAAAGCATACTATTTAAGTACTTTGTTCTCAAGTAGGCATAATTACGTAGTTAAAAGCATGATGATAATTTGATATAAATATCAACCCTGCAAAAATGAATTCCAAACGAATAACGACAAGTGTATTTAACTCAGTGACTAGGCTGGCTCCTCAATACTTCAAAATTTGATGGAATTCAATCTATCACGTTAATTGCGCGCATGATTCCTTAAAAGCGCCATTTTAAATTTAAATATGTTGAATATCAAACAGTGGCGGATCATTGATTTATAAGCATATAAGCTGGGTGGTTTTCAATTGTTGAAGTATTAAAACTTGACATAAGGGGCAGATAGCACTGTGGTAGTGACGTCCGCTCTCACGAGTACGGTGCTAGTTCGATTCCGCTCCGTGCCAGCAAATCCTCTCATCCCTCCGTGTTCGCGAAATTGATACCGGTCTTATTCGGGAAAAAATAACTCTCTGCGCTTCAGTCTGGCTATCTCAGGACTCCAAGGAGAATTGACTCGACCAGCATTCTATGACATTCAAGATGAAATGAAAATCCTCAAGCTGCAGTCGAAGCCACTAATAAAAGTTGGAAGATGTTCGTTGATAATGGATGAAGGAAAACGGATGGAATGTGAGAAGTGCTAGGATCCGCACAGTAGACGTGAAGACGGGTCATATAAAAAATAAATATCTAAACTCTCTCAAAAAATTGATGGCGAAATTGAAGTAACGAAATTTCGGAAGAAAGAATAACAGTTCCAAACAAGAACATTAGGAAAGGCCATCGTATCCTGCCCAACGAAGTCGTACTTGTTCATTTGCTTTCGTTTCGTGGTCGAAATATAGGCTTGAAGTAAAAAAGTCGAAGAGCTCCAGAAAACCAAAATTTCATCGTGGCAAAACAAGAAAACTTTTATCCTCTAGAGAAAGTTTGTAGTAGACTTCATTGTAAAATTTACTATGAGCTGAGATACGTTGATTTTAAATTGAAATTGGCCGCCGTATAGCTCCTAAAGTAGCCTCCTTGTCGCACAAGTGTTAACTCCTTACCGCTTCATTATGTCTGACAGGTATGCCTGGAGAATGAATGGACTGCGATGATCTGCCTGTAGAGCTTGAACGACGAGATGAGAAAATGGGCAATATTTCAATCCAGAAGCGTACCTTACATTAAGCAAGTACACAGCTTTGGATGAAATTTATTCTTGAAGTGGCAAACTTCTCTGATTCAGCGGACTGACTATGATGAAGAGCTAAGAACGCTGGCATGGGTTCCTCGAGACAGCAGTGAAAAACTCTTCCAAAGACAGCAACATTTTCTACGAAGCGTGTCAAGTAACACATTAGTTACATGAAAAATGTGTACAACATTCAACGATTTCTTATTTTCGCACAACGTACTCATGAATTTACCCAAATGAATGCAAATAAAGCTCCAAAGAAAATTATGGCTCAGAAACTCCTAGTAGTTAAAGCGCCACCCTTGGGCCTACTCGGCGTACTGCCTACGCCCATTTATTCCCGAAGAAATTTTAGTTCGTGGTTTTTCTCTAGTTGACGATATTGCGCGAGACATCCATTACGGACAAATGAATTTTTCATGCAAACTGTCGATTTCTATAGAAATCCGTGAGAATGAGCAGACGTTCTTCTTTAGCATCATGCTCATACATTAGTAGACGTTCATAAAAGCAGAAATAAGCGTGAAGGTTTTTTATATTCCATACGACTACCGGCCAAAAAATATTCAGTGACGCGTCATTTCATGTTGTGAGCACTGGAAACATAGTAAAGAAAAGTATTGAAATAAGCTATGAATAGGAAATTCACAGAATTAGTGACGGCCATGATGATAGGCTGCCTTTTCCTTGATGAATTATTGAAGAGTCGGATACACGTTTTGGTCCATGCCTTAGAACCAAACTAATCGACCGCAGCGCTGTTGGAACGAGCTAGGTGTCGAACTTACAACAGTCCAGTTGCCGAGTACCACCTTTTCCACTGTACTCCATTGCAATATGTTGGACACACTTCATTTAGATTATTAGCTAGTTACTAGATGCAATCTCGTAGCAACGTCGTTCTACTGACGAACACAAAGAATAAATGGTAGACGATAAAAAGTTTGCAAAGGATTTCGGTAGAACAAAGTCAACCATTGAATTGATTGAATGCGCTATTAAGAAGAAAAGAAGGAAAAGCGGGAAATGAGATTTACTTTTGAAGAGATAGAATTCATCCATATAAACTACTTAAAAGAGTGGCTACTGAAACAACAGCTCACTCAGCCAGCTCTGTCGTACTGGATATTAACCACACATTAACCACAAAAAGTGCATTGAAAATGGGCGGTGGAAGTGAACTGTTAATGCAAAGGCCTTTGGAACGCTTTTTCTGATTCCTATAACAGAGTTCCATCAACACCTAATGTAGCGAAATTACGCTGCTTTTATTCCAAAGGTGTTTTCTGGCTCAAAAAATTTTCAGTTTCACGAATCCTTGATGTCGTCCACTTCTTGTAGGAAGACTCTTTACATGGCCCTGAAGGTAAGGCTTTTGAGGAGATTTTAATATTCATCGTGGGCTTTTTCGCTTCATATGTATTCATTGGACCGATTCAATTGATTCGTCCTGCAAAACACTATGTTCTTCAGACCATTTTATACTCAATATTATGGAAAATTATCTAGATGAACACGACAATTATCAAGGCGAAAATGAAGTGAAATTAACTGACCTCGACCTTCTCAGGCATTGTGCATTGACGTTCGCCCCATTCCGGGGAATTAGTGCGAATTTTTCAGTAGAATCTGAAATGAAAAGGTGTCACGTTCAAGAAGAAAAAGTTAGAAGATGAGATGAGCGTCTTGGAACTGAACAAACAAATGCCATTACGCTTCGATCTAAAGCAGGAAAAATGCCTGAAAACAAACGTTTCATCTTAAACGAATGAAGTCAACGACTTTATTGTATCGACGCAACCTAAAGGGTTGTCGGATTGTTGCTAGACGTTAAAAGATTATAAAATCGTGATAAAAGAACGAAACAGTGGATGAACTAGCAAGATGCAATCACGCGACACTGATGGAATATCCTGATTGACCGGCCAATAATTACATTTCCTCGTCGGCAAGTAGTGACGAGCCAACTAACAACCCATCTCTCTTCGTAATGCGTGAAGAATATTCTCGAATGGGCTGAGAGTATTCTCGGGAATATTGTCACCCTAACGAGAAAAGTTATAGAGTAATCATAGCACCAGACTACAATAAGAAACTTCTTAAACTGCTTCTTACAAAAGAACTACAACAACGCTAATAGAAGAGTTTTTGTTTGTGCTCCACGAAAAAGGGCTGACTAAGTCATCATGTCTATGACATCATTAAGTCTTGAAACGAAATAAAAAAATAAGTGAAAATTGAAGGAAGAGCAGCAAGACGAGGATAAAGAGGACAGCCTACTACTCTCTCCGACCCAAAAACAAGTTACCACCTTTTCGGACTGTTAAGGAAACGGATGCTAGTCATACTCTTGTGTCTATGGATACAGTGGAATAACAAAAATAAGTCTTTGAATCTCTAAGCTTAGCATTTAAAAATACAGTGAAAAAAACATCTCATTGGCTCCCTGTGCTTTTCGTCTTCACCAATTTACCACGTCACTGAATGGCTTTGCCTTGATGAAGAACGGCAAAAAAGAAACTTTCGTCATAGACTA